ATGCCTTGTCTAATGGATGTCAGTTATCAGTTATCTCCTGCTTAATTCCCTCTCCAAGTTCTCCACCACCTTAACCAGGTATTGAACTCACACTCTTTTGGGTCCTGTCACTGGATCTAACTAATGCCTTTATCCACTGTGCTATGTGTCCTTGAGGTCTGAGTACATGGCAGCAGCCCCAAAAAGCTGGGATAGTGGGGTACAATAGTAGGACAACAACACTCAGAAAACAATCTGCCTGCCTTATGTGAAGGGGTTATAAGAGAAAATACAAAAGGATCTGTGGTCCATATAACATCAATACAACCTTCAAAAGCTGGATAAACTTTGCAGATATCTCTCCCAAGTAACCCCCCCCCATAGAGGAGAACATGAGTAAAGACTGTGTGTACGCTATCCCGTGCAGCTGCAGAAAGAAATATAAATGGGGAGACAAGTCGCCCCCTTAAGGTAAGGCTTCAAGAACACCAGAAAGCTGTAACACAAGGGGAAGTAGAAAAATCAGGTGTGGCTGACCACATATGGAGAGAAAAGGGAGATCACCACCATGGCTTGACAATTACATATAGCATGAAACAGACTGTCACCTCCAGGTGTTGACTTAAATGTCTACTTTTATATTTATATATGCTCTATTCTTGATATTGAGCACTTTAATCCATAAATAGAGATACCTTAAAACTATATTTATCATATATGTTTCATTATATATATATATATATATATATATATATATATATAAAATAATTAAAAATGTTATTCTGATCAAAGAAAAAAAGAATTCATTACACCAAAAATGTTTAGAGAGTGCTTTGATTGCAAGGTCAGCCATAGTAAATTTGTGCCTGGGTTCTTACAACTTTTCACCATGTCTAGCAGAACTTCTATTAACATGCATTGTGGGATATCTAATAACAAAAATGATAGGAAGAAAACGAATCAAAATGAAATCAGTTAGATTAAAAAATCTAAAGTTTAAAATTCCCAGCATACTTTGTTAATGCGCATGTGTAGTTGCACCAACATAACAAAATTAGTCATATATAGATGTGTGTACCTATATGCATGCATGCTCACATATATATAATAAATACATGTAAATAGAAACACAATATTAAACAAGCAGATTTGTATATGCACTTGTATTCACATATTAATACACTCGTATGAAAACATAAAGACATACACGACAACTTCGCCAAATCTGTAGCCTATATTGATATATATTTATTACATTCATGCATAGCCACAAGTACAGTCTGATGTCTAACTCTTACGTCAATAACAGACATATCCAAAAATCACTGCATCTAACATTGCACATGGGATATTTTATCAGACTAAGTATGTAACATTGGCGATAAGGCTGTAAATATGATCCTTTGGGACAGAGGGCAGACAGACCAAAGCCACAATTTGATGGAACAGATTCTGGTTTTTGGTATTGAACTAATTGCAACGCCAATGTTTTCAGATATTATTTCTCTTGGTAAAAGTGACAAAAAATTAAAACAAATAAGTAAAACGATCTCTTTTTCTAGGTAAAAAAAAAATGAACAATCATTTACGCATATATGTAAAAATTAGAAAGTTAATCTAATATTGTTTTCGTTTAATCCCTTTAAGACTTGCCTCTCTACAGATTACTGTTTTTTATTATCTGTAAATTGCAATGACTTTAGAAAGATTGTAGAGTGGTTTCTCATTGCCTTCTCTACAGTTTTGAATTCAGAGTAATGCTTCTCCTTGACTACCCAAGGCTAGAGAGCCAAGTCTACCCTACTGGAGTACTTTTCTACCATAGCTGGAAGGAGAAGAAATGCATTTGTGCTTTTCCTAAGTGAATGCAACAGACACAACTGGAATTTGAATTTGGCTAACAGATCCAATTTTTTTTATTCTAATAACCATTACACTAAAATTTGGTTTAAATACCTATAGCCTTTATCACTGAAACATCATTCTCAAAAACATTCTTTTGAGCATATTTTCCTTTCCAAAATCTTTGCTTGCTTGGGATGATTTTATTATACATCACTCAGTTAATCCCTACATATTTAAAATGTTTTCTTTTGTGCATTTTGACTCTCATTGCACAAATAAAAACATTGCTTCTGTGCACATTTTAATCATAAAAACATTAAATCTAGTGTATTATTGTTTTCTTCATGAACAATGTTTTTTCATAAACAAAGTAACTTTATGTATTATCTATGAGTGGCCTTGTATATTAATCATTTTTTACAAAATTTTGTTTTTTCACCATTATAAATTAAACACACCAAACCAAGATTATGAGGCTTTTTTATTGATTTTATAAATGTTAATTGTAAAGTATGGATCTAGTTTGCTATGTAAATTCATTTTAAATTGATCCCCCTATGGAATCAAAAAACAATATATGTACATACTACAAGATTTCATAAAATTTAAATAAAATGCTTTTTTTGAAATATCATTCAGAACGTTTAATCAATAGAAATTTAAGAAAAGAAAACTCCAGATTATGAATAACAATTAATATAAAACAAAACTGGAGAAAAATTGTTACTTTTGGTTGCCGTGACAATTGTACAACTCCAACTTTCAATCTGTTTATCTTATCTATAAGTATCTTTTTACATTCTTTGATAATTTCAGAAAGCCTAAATTCTTGATATTAATGAAAATATTTGAAATTATTCCATGCTAACTTTTATAAAGCTTATTGTCTGAAATTATCATTAGAATATTTGCTTGATTTTAACCTTTTGAACCCTGACCCCCTGATGAGTATGGCTTTCCCAACTCGAGCCCCTGATGTCCATGACTCTAGACATTATATTGCCTGCCAGGGTATATGCACTTTCACACAGTGGCTGGTATACTGGCTGCTCAGGTTCAAAAGCTTAACAAACTGAATTGTTATAATATACAGCAAAAACTATCAACTGATGAGCATTAACAAAAATAATGCATCTAATCTGAAAATGTGAAAACATTTTTAAAATAATTTTTTTTTCATTAAGATATAGACTGCATTTTTCTTATTAATTTTTCTTGAAAGAAATTATATTAAAATACAACAAATGGAAATAGCCAGGTTCACTGATCATCTGATTCATCTACCCCCTGGTCTTTTGAACAGGAGTAGAGGTACTCCCTTGCTTTCTGTTTAGGAATGACTTTCCAGTTCCTTCTAAAATATTCTCATTCTCTTTCTCTCCGTTCATGCCTACCTGTTGGTCCACCTAAGATACTTTAGTGCTTTTGGATAAAATGGATTAAAAATAAGTCATTCTTAAATATTAGAAAATATAATTTAGAATATTTAAATTTAACTTTGTTTTTTTTTTTGTTTTTTCAGGTGAGTACCTTCATTTTTGTCTTGTTCATGGCATCCTATTAAACCTCAAATATTTGGTAAGTCAAGACATCTTTAATTTTTTTCAGTCTGTACTCAAGAAGAATACATTTATTCTGTAAATATTCATGTTTTAAAATAGGAATAATTTGACCATTAGCAGTACTTTTCTTTTTAATGCTATTGTGTATTTTAGCATTTAAAGTGATAAAAGTAATGTCCAAGACAAGATAAAGAAACTGTGTTTTAATGCTGAAGATGACAGAGATGCTAACTGATAAGGTTTGTGCTGATAATGATTACTTGATAAGCAGGTGTGACAAATGATATCAGATGCACCTGTTGTATTATATTTTACTCTTTATCTTTTTAATTCTCTTTTTTTCTCTTCTGTTCTTTTCTTTCATCTTTTCATATTCTCTCTTTTTTCTTTTTTTCTCTTTTGTTTTCCTTTTCTTTTCATTTCTTTCCTTTTTTTCTGTTTGCTTTTCTTCTCCATTTCCTTTCCTTTTTTTTTCTTTTCTGTTTCTCTTTTGACCATTTTCTCAATTTCTTTTTCTCTTTTGCCATCCATTTCATTTTTTCTTTTTACCATTTCTTTTGCCATCCATTTCATTTTTTTTTTACCATCCATTTCATTTTTTTCTTTTTGCCATTTTCATTTTTTTTCTCTTTTTACCATCAATTTCCTTTTTCTCTTTTGCCATCCATTCTTTTTTTCTCTTTTACCATCCATTTTTTTTTTTCTTTTTTTCATTTTTCTCTTTTGCCATCCATTTCATTTTTTTTTTCTTTTGCCATCCATTTCATTTTTTTTCTTTTGCTCTTTTTTTTTTTTTTTGCCATCCATTTCATTTTTTCTTTTTCACCATCCATTTCATTTTTTTTTTTTGCCATCCATTTTTTTTTCATTTTTTTTTCTTTTTCCATTTTCATTTTTTCCTCTTTTACCATCCATTTCATTTTTTCCTCTTTTACCATCATTTTTTTTCTTTTACCATCCATTTTTTTTTTTTTTTTCTCTTTTACATCCATTTCATTTTTTTCTTTTTCCATTTCATTTTTCTCTTTTGACCATCCATTTCATTTTTTCTCTTTTACCATCCATTTCATTTTTTCTCTTTTGCCATCCATTTCATTTTTTCTTTTACCATCCATTTCATTTTTTTTTTTACCATCAATTTCATTTTTTCTCTTTTGCCATCCATTTCATTTTTTCTCTTTTACCATCAATTTCATTTTTTCTCTTTTACCATCAATTTCATTTTTTCTTTTGCCATCCATTTCTTTTTTCCATCAATTTCATTTTTCTTTTCCATCAATTTCATTTTTTTCTTTTTCCATCAATTTCATTTTTTTCCATTTCATTTTTTCTTTTTACCATTTTTTTTTTCCATCTTTTTTCTTTTACCATTTTTTTTTCTCTTTTACCATCAATTTCATTTTTTCTTTTTACCATCCATTTCATTTTTCTTCCTACTATCAATTTCATTTTTTTTTTGCCAATTTAATTTTTTCCATCTTTATCTATTTCCTTTTTTTTCTTCATTCTCTTTTCAAATTCTATTTTTCTTCCTACTAAATTTAATTTTTATTATTTCCTGTTTTTCTTATTCTCGAAATTCTGCCTTTTGTGATTTTTTCTCACCCATTTCAAATGTTTTCTTTTAATATTATTTGCTTTCATTTTCATTTCTTTGTTACATTTTATTATTTCTTTTCTTCATTTATTTTCCTAATGTTTCTCACTCTTCTTTGTTATTCTTTCATTCTCTCTATTTCTGATGTATATATCTTTCTTGCCTTCCCTTTTTCTAACTCTCTCTATTCTTTCTTTTTCTTCTCTTTACTTTTTTCTTCTTTTATTTTCTCTTTTTTTCAATCTCCCACTTCATCACTTTTTGTTTGTATACATAGAAAAGCTTTGATTAATGCTGTGTGATTTTCTACAATGTAATTTACAAAATACAGCAATTTAAAAATCTGATTTTTAATACATTATAAATTATTAATGATTTCAAGTATACTTTTTTGTTAGTTTTAAATGCTGATTTTCTTGAGCCTTAATCAACAGCTGAGCTCTGAGCTAGGATTATATTGTCTTGTTACAGTACAGATTTATTTGACAGAATAATTTTCCTTTTCGCATTTCTAACAAAAGAAAAAAAAAATGTTTTTTCTGTATATCCATTCATGCAAATATAAATTGTTGAAAATACTTATCATTAATGACAGAAAATATCAGGCAACTGTCCATTTATATTAAAAGGGGAAAAGAGATATGACTTCCCTTCATCACTGTTGTTTTTGCATTTCATGTGACAATACCATTAATGCCCAATTTTTATGTTCTGGGAGAAATAATTGCTTTCTCTTTCCTTCAACAAACCCTAAAAAATTACGTGTGTACTGATATATATATATATATATATATCTTTTATATGTATAAAAATATATAATATATATATATAAAAATACCCCTACATATGCATATACACACTATACACACACATTTGCATATATATAATGGATGCTGCTCATTTCTGAGCATACCTGTCTACTAGGATGGCTTGATAATCCCTATTGTAGATACCTGCTCAGGTATATTTGTGTTTCTTTAAAATCATCAGATATGTGGTTTATACTGCAAGTATGCTAAGTGAACATTAGTTACAATTTCTAGGAGAGAGCACATTATCTGGTATGATCGACAGTCTGAATGGTCATACACTCAAACCCTTGGTCACCATGACTTGTGACTTTGTGCTAGAACAACCATCAATGGTTCCTAAATAGTGCCCATTGACTAATTTCACTCACTAGTTGTACTGATATTTATCATAATAATAATGGTTAGATCATATCCAAGTATGTTAATCTGCTAGGGTCATTAACCAATCTTTGTTGCAGATGCCTTGTTCAACACCCACAGAGCCAACATGTGATTTAGACAACAACCAGCTTGAGTGGATATTAGTTACAGTTTCTGGGAGAGAGCACAAAATCTGGTATGATCATTGGTTGAACAAGGCCACTATGCTCAAGTGACTGTGTTAGCACAACTATTTAGGGCTTGTGAATAGTTTTGTTGGCCCAGTTTCATGCTTAAAAATGTGGTCTACATGTGGTACAGTGTTCAGGCACTTTTCCTTGGTGCTACATGGTGGGGCCATTTCCAAAAGCCAATATTATCAAGGGGTCATCTCCTTAATAAATCAGCAATGGTGAGATTTGAATCCAGATCTTATTGCCAAAATGCTAATGTCCTAACTACATGGCCACATGTCCCCACCCATATATATATATATATACACACACACCCACCCACCCATATATGTTATTATATGAGGGTTGACAGAAAAGTTCGTAGGCTGACCACAGTATAGATATAAGAAGACACACCAGACTAAAAGACATGCAAATGTACCAGAACACAACAGCTGTTTCACCAGGTTGTCTCAAGTTTTTATTATGTACACCTGTGTTTACATATATCAATATAGGCTGTATTTTCTTAGCTAAATTCATAAGTAATATAAAAATAATAATAAAGGAAGATTTTTTTTTTCCCCAAAGGTCCTTTATTATCTCAAAAAGAAAAAAAGAAGTCTTACAATAACACTGAAAAGAAAAATATCTATGAAGAAAACATTAACGCATGTTAAAGAAATTTGAAGATGTAGATATTACACCAATTGCTAATCTTTTGCCTTTCTCTGAAGTTTGATTAAAATTCTCTTTGACACCATACTGTTCAGAATTTCTTCAAGGCTTTTCTATTTTTTTGAACTCTATCCACTCTTTACCAATTTTTTTAAAAAAGTTCATAGAAAATTACTTTTCTCCTTTTATATTTTTCATTTTTTAAAGTTTGAAGAGACTATTTTCAATTGCCATGAGTTTTGAAAAAATATTACTTCTCTATGATTTTCTTGCTAATATTTAATATCTTTGCTACAGAATGTTGAAGCAGAACAAGTCAAGGGTTTCAGTTTTGATATTGCAAATTATCACTTGTGTTTTTTTATGATTATCTTAAGCGATATTTTTTTCTTCATTATGTACTTTAATTTTATTTCATCACTTTTTCTTTTCATTATCATTACCTTAGCTTTCTTTTTGCTATATCTCCCATCGTTTTCACTTTCATTTTTTCACTTTCTTAATTACTTTTTAAAAACATTTTTTCCATTCTTTTCTATTTTTTTCCTTCATCTTTTTTCTGTATTCCTTCTTTTCTTTTCACTATTTTCATGTCACATCACAAGTCTCATAACCCATTTCAGTTCTAAAGACACATCATATAGACTCTGCAGTCATAGTAGCAGTGGGTACATCTATGGCAAGTTAGCCTAACAGTGACCATCCTTCTTCTGGCTAGTTTTTGTATTCAGAAATTTTGTTCTCTTGGACTGGTTGCCATTTCATTGCAAGAGATCTCAATCTGCCCTGCCTTATAGATGGAGGAAGATGAATGCTTTTTCTCAAGGCAAAGTGAATGAAACAAAATCAAGTAGGGATTGAACTTGGTATACCAAATTCATTTTCCACACTAATTACTGCTATCCTTTTCAGTATAATCAGTTTTATTCCTTTTTTTTTTCTCAACTTCTTATTTCTTCCTTATTATCTATGAGGAAGTCCTAAAAATGGGATAATTTTTTCAGATTTTGAGAAGTGGGTCAGAACTGAGAATTTTTCAGCACCTCTTTTTTTTTAATTTTCCATCTTTTCATATCTCTAATATCTTTTACTTATTTGTTTTTCTTAATTGTTTTTCTTCTTTCCAGTTTTTATTTCTAATCTTTCTTTCTGCCATTATTTTTAATTTCTTTCATCTTCCTCTCAATTTTTCTGCTTTCTCTTAATTCTCTTCTGTTCACATTTTTTTTTTTGCCTCAGTTATTTGTTACTTTTACCTCAAGTTTCTCTTTCCTTCATTTTCTTTTCTTTTTATTTATTCTATTTTTTCCTTCCTTCCATTCTTCTTTTTCTTTCTTCTTCTCTCCTTCCCATTATTGTTTTCTTATTTCTTTGTTCTTTCTTTAACTACTTCTTTGCTCTGTTTGTTTTTTTCTAACTTCTCTTTTCTATCTTTCTTGAAGAATTAGAAAATATATTATTGTTCTGAAAATGAATTCCTCAAAATGTAGTTCATACTTTTTACTTAAAATTCTCTTACCTATTTGTGCATGTTTTTTTTTTGTCATCTTCCATTGGTGGGCATCTTTCATTATCATAGGCTGTGTTTATTTAAATTCTTCCTTGTTTGTATTTATTAATATTTTCCTTTTTCTTCTGATTACAACTGACATTCAAAGAGAAAAAATAGTTTCTTAGTATTATTCCTTTTTGTCGAAATTTGTTCAATTCTTTTATTTCAAGTATCTTTCTCCTCTTCCTTCACAACCAATTCCTCGCCCTTTTAATCTGTCACTAAATTCCCCACTATCTTTCATTACTTGCTCTAATCATCTCCTCAAACTTAGAAATTCTTCTATTATGTATTTACTCTTATTTCTTAAGCACTATCTACTTGTCATCTTCCAAGTTAGTTGACGATTCTCTTTTTCTTTTTTTTTTACTTTTATTCTTTCTGGCTCTCAAATCCACTTTTACCTTTTTTTTTTTCCTTTTCTTATCTTATACATCTTTGTTCCTTCTTTCTTCTCACTTTCATCTTCACACTTTTCCAAGTCTTCCTTTCCATTCTTCATGCTCAGTATTATCTCCTTTCCTTCCTCCATTTGTTTAGATTTCTTCTTTCTTATCTCCTTTGTATCTTTCTGCTTTTCCTTCTCTGTTTTTCTTTCTTTCCCTTTTTCCTATGCCAATACTATCTCCCATTTAAGAAATCTTTTAGATTTTCCTTTTCCTTCATCTTTTTCACTAATCTCTAACTTGGCTTTTTTCTGTTGTCATCTTACAAACTTGCCATTCTTAAATGGTTTATTTCTTTTCTTTTGCACCTTTCTTTATATCTTTTCACAAATCTGAAAATTCCTTTTCATCTTATTTTCTCTTTTATTTTATCTGCCTTTTCTACTGTTTGCCTGTTCTCTTCTATTTTAATTAACTGTTTTTATAGTTTTCCCTCTTTACTTGCTTTTTCCACCTTCATCTTTTGAGTCTTCTTCTGAGTTTTTTTCTTCTTTGTTCTCCTCTGAGTCTTTTTCTTCTTTGTTCTCTACTGAGTCTTTTTCTTTTTAGCTCTCCTCTGAGTCCTTTTCTTCTTCTGAGTCTTGCGTTCTTTCTTTCTTTCTTTCTTTCTTTATTTATTTATTTATTTATTTATCTATTTTTCTTTCTTTTTACTTTTTATTTTTTCTTTCTTTTTACTCTCTTTATTTTTTTATGTCTTTCTTTCTTTCTTTTCTTTATCTCTCTCTCTCTCTCTCTCTCTGTTTTGATTTTCCTCTACCTCTTATATTCTCCACCATCTCAAATTCCTGTACTCCTGCTTCTTCTGAATCTTTTTCTTCTTTGTTCTCTTCTGAGTCTTTTTCTTTTTAGTTCTCCTCTGAGTCCTTTTCTTCTTCTTCTGAGTCTTTCTTTCTTTCTTTATTTATCTATTTTTCTTTCTTTTTAATCTCTTTATTTTTTCTTTCTTTCTTTATCTCTCTCTCTCTGTTTTGATTTTCCTCTACCTCTTACATTCTCCACCATCTCAAATTCCTGTACTCCTGCTTCTTCTTGCCATATCTTCTCCTTTCCCACAAACTCACACCTTGGCCTTTCTATTTTCTTTATCACCACCATGAACATGGCTGGCCTGCACACCCACCCACACCTACACATGCATGAAAAATATCTACAATAAATATACTTTATTATTTAAATGTACACCTTCCTTTCACACACGAAAGCTCTATAAATACAACAATAATATTGAAACAAACTTGTACATATTCCAAAAGCATAGACATTTAAAACTGAAATGCATGTATATACAGATGCATGCATATCCATAAATATTGTAACTACATATAGATTGCTCATCTGAATGTTCGTAGGCAAGTCATTATTACACACATTATGTGCACGCACCCATATGTGCAAAGTTTCATTCAATTTTAGTACCCACACCCACTTGTCTATATCATGCATACACTTTATGAATCTACACAGAGGTAAACAGCAATAATGATTTTAATAACAACTTCTAAATCTATGGATTTATAAAATGAACAAAGATAAGAGAATATTGAATATAATGAAAGAATGACTGAAGAATAAATGAACGAAGCAAAAGAAAAAATATCTATGGCAGTAGTAGTGTTAGTGATTAGTTGTCAGTGGCAGGTGGGTGGGCGTGTCTTTATTCTGGTACAATAATCTACAAATATAGGTCATTTGAAATGACATCTTTTCTCACCTTCCTTCTTGTTAAAACATCTCTCTTAGACTTTTTAAACAGCTGATATTTAAATAGTAGAAATTTATTCAACTGATTCCAACTCTGTTCCTGCTTAGATATGTTAATGTCACACCGTGTCAATCAGCATCATCTAAGATGCCACTGATGCTGAAATCACAAGGATGGCAGCTTTGCTTCTTGCTGTTGTTGCAGATGTGTGCGTGTCTTTTGGGACTATTCAGTGTAGTCACAAAGAAGTCCAAAATTAGAATGATAGAAACACATTCAGTTTGATTGATATATATTCCAAAAAAGGCTTAAGCATTGGCACAAAAAGTAGGATGCCAAGATTCAAAATTTAATTTTAAAACATTCAATTCAAATGATCCAACTGAAAAATGTTCAAAACATTTTATGCGAATAAATGAACCTTAATCATTTTCAAAAGCTTAATCTGCAGAAGCCTCCCAAAGCACTTAAATAGGCTGACATAATGTTATAGTGGAACACACCTATTCTATAGTTAATAGACTCTCCCACCTATAATAAGTAGGAGTAGTAAGAGTAACGAGGGAGTCGCTCAGTGGGTCAGTCAGTCAGTCAATGCTGGACGACTGTTAGTCGGATACTAAAGTATCAGAGACCACAACTAGATTTCTCTGCGTCATTACCTATTATATCAAGTTCCTAACGTTTTGTACATTGAACCTATTTTAGGACCGACTTAGTACAAATACAAGCCTCCACTGTGAAACCACTCCATAACACATAAGTTAAACAGACCTGAGATTTGAGAGATTCATTCATATCGATTAAACTTAAATCTGATATTTTAATAACAAACTTGTTAACTAACACTTAAATCATGATCCTATTCACCATATAAGCTTGATTTTTTAGAAAATGCTTTCTTGTGTTTGTTTACAAGTTTTGGAATGTATGTAAATACCTCTCTCTATATATATATACATACATACATATACATATATATATATATATATATATATATATAGATGTCAGCTCAACCCATAATGTCCACATGCTGAACACTATAGTTACAGTTTCTAGGAGAGAATGTATAATTTAGCATGGACAATTTTTTGAACAAGACCAGCACCATCAGTCATGGTGGCTTGTGACTTCATGCTATCACAACCATTGACAACTTCTGAATAATTCCACCTGCCCAATTTCACTCACGAGGCTTGAGTTAACTTGTGGTTTTTGGCAACTTTCCAAATGTGCTGCATGCTGAGATCACTTCCCTAAGGCAATATAATCAAGAATCTGTTGCCCTGAAAAATCTGTAGAGAGAGAAAGAAAGATTTAGTAAGTTTAATTTACTCTGACACAAAACTACAATATATTAAAACATCTGAGTTTGTTCACTTAAGTTTATGAGCTACCGACTTCACAATGTGCATGTATTTTTTTCCTTTTTAATCATTTCACCACAAGCAAGGTGATAATGCCACTAAGATACAAGGGGTTACTGGGCATGAAAGAGAATGAGAAGATTTTAGGACAATAAAAGAACAGTTTCAGAAAGACAGAAGATGGTGATTGACATTGGATTTAAATTTTAGATTATAGGTGGTAGTTGTAAGAAATTTTTCCTCTAGCAAATGTTGTTAAAAAGTGTTGTATTTATTAGCTGTAGTAATTAACCATATTATTTCTCCTACCCAGAAACCTGCTTGCTGTATGTTTTTAACATGAGTGTATCAATATGTTTCTTTGTAAAGTGTCTGTGTACTGATATCTACTAATGTATATTGTGACAGACACTTAAGCAATATTTATTTATACACACTGTTTAGATGTAATCATCCATTTTTACAGCTGATAAATATATTCACTATGATAGTAAAATTTATTTTCTTATAAGTGGACTGTGTATGTTATAAAAAAATTGCACTAAAACTAAATGGATTTATACAAATATGGTACTATATGTTGATGTACCATCAGATGTATAGATGGTACTATTACAAATATGGCCTTGGGAGTTTTATTGGCTAAAGATGCTTAAGTAGAGAAGTATATCTGTTCAAATATCCAATTATATGCAATAGTATTTTCATAAATGTTTCCATGAATGGCTAGACATAGAACTAGTGCTAGTTTTCCATTGTGTTTGCTTTTGAAATCATCTCAGGTGTGTATATTTGTCTTTAATCTTATGCATATGGATTGATATGTATATATTGCAACTGAGAATAGAGATGGTTGAATTTACCTGTTTGTACATATATACAGGTGCGATGGATAAATTGTCGCCTAAACTATGCAAAAATGAGAATAACTCTGACATCTCATTTTAATAGATATATTTACCAAACTTGCACAAAAATATCTTGGAATACTAAAAAGTAAATTTATTCAATAAAATTGCCATTAGCTTCAACAACAGCTTCCAGGAGACTGTAAATTCCTGCATCTCTTCTGGTCAGTCTCCTCGTTTAAGTTGGTGAATGTTTCCATAATCCTTGCCTTCAGTTCATTGGTATTATATAGAGTTTTGTTGGTCTCTTGCTCAACTTTGTCCCACACATAATAATCAAGAGGGTTGCAGTCTGGGGAGTTAGGTGGCCAAATGTAAGGGGTGATGTGTGGTCGCAGATATTGTCTGACAGCCATTACTGTGTTCTACTTGTGTGGCATGGTGTACAGTCCTGTTGTCAGATATAGGGTCTTCCAGCAACCACCCTCTTGACCCAGGTCAGTGTTACCTCCTCAAGACACATGGTGTAGGCCTCCATGTTTTCTCTGAAACCCTGTGGGAAGATGAATGAAGGCATGATGTTGCTATGACTAGTGATCACTCCAAATACTTTCGTAATCACCATTAGACTCATCAAACTTTTTCTGAATCCTCTGCACTGTCATCAGATTCACACCCAAACATTCTGAAATGTTCATACTGGAGCTTCCAGCATGAATGCCAAGCAGTACACATGCTGTTTCCAAATTTCTGGTGGAGTGAATTGTCATGGTGCTCTTTTTCTCACAGACAGTGCCCAGCTGACCCTACTATACTCAGCCGTTGACAAAATCAAAAACAAGCAACGTGCATGCATAAAATTAAAAATAAAGAATGGTGACAATTTACCTTGCACACTATATATATATGTGTGTGTGTGTGGGGACAGTTTTTACATACTCAATGTCCAGAAAAGAAATCAATAGTATGAATGTAAGAAAAGGCAAATGATAATTTGCCTTGATCTTGCATAGGAGGCCACCATGCCAAATTCCTTAAATATATCTTGGGCCACAGCCTGACCTTTACCTTTTTTATTTAGAGCTTGATAGACAAATTTAATGATGGCTGTTAACACATTGGTGATAGACCTGGTGAAACAGAAGCCATATTGTTTGACCAAAAGGAGGTTATGTTTAGTAAGATGCTTAACTAAAGAGGTAAGTGACTATAAGGCAATAATTTGAAGGGTTGGAGGGTTCCTCAGATTTCTTTAAAATAAAAGCTACAGAGGAGGACTTTTAACAAGCTATATTTTAAGCATTTCACCCCAAGCAAGGTGATAATGTCACTAAGATGCAAGGGGTTACTAGGATTGAAAGAGAATGCAGAGACTGTAGAAGGAACTCAAAACACCTACCTAAACAGGAAACAAATGTTAAACCTCTACACCTATTCAATAAATGTGGAAAGAGTGTGAACCAGGTGATAGGTAAACACCTATCATATATATATATATATATATAAATATATATATATATATATATACATATATATATATATAAAGAGAGAGGGAGATAATCAAGTTGGAATCAGCAATGGGAAACAGAAGCCACCCCAACCATCCAACCTGGTGAAGAGTAATTCATTTCAGTTGTCCCACTTTTAAGGAGAAGAAAAGGAAGTAAAAAAATAAAGCCAACACAAGGCCGGCAGCTCTAGCCAAGATCATCACCCTCCTTATGATGTAGCCAATGACTAAGACTAATCTATTCCTGACTTGGCCTCCTGAGCCATTTTGGGTTCAAGCATCATGGAAACTAACTTAGACACAAGTGGTACTGATGATGATATATTTCTTATTATGGGAAAACGATATATAAATTTTTATATATTAAGAACAATTTTAGGAAAATCTATGACAAAGTGGAAAAATATATTTGTGTGATGCATTTCATGTTTTAGAACTTCATCAAACTATCATGATATTTACACTGTGATTACATATACACATAAAGGAGAGGGGACATGAAAATTTTTAATTTAGATTTAAATTATTTTTTAATATATGTTTTA